TGAATGAGTGAAGCAGACTCTGTGTTTGCTAAAGAAGGCTCCCTAGTTGAGGTCCCATATGTTGAGCCCTCATTTTGGAAAGTCTTAAAGTTAAGTCTATGATAATAAGGTCTCATGGTATACGAATGAATAATATGAAAGAAAGTATGTGTTATATGTTATGTGTTATATGAATATGTTATGTTTTGTGTGCTATACGATAATTATAATGATGCATGTCACTCTCATGGCATAACTTTCCCAATCTCAATTTGGCAAGTCCACTGACTTGACTTCCAAAAATCATGTTGTTAGGAAAGAGCTATTCTTCCTCATGCATGTCCCTGGTGTGTACTTGCATATACTCATACTTAGTACAAGTGTGTACTAATTCCATACGAACATCTACTTTTAGGTGCAAGCACAGGTGGACGCTAGAGCTACAGGTTCGTTGTTGCAGCTATCCGGACATCAGTATTCATCCGGAGTTTGGTAGGTCCTCATGCTTTCGAGGATGCTACCGTTTTACATTCTAGCGTAGTTTTAGAGTTGAGCTAGCGGAGCATGTTCCACTAGCGTTTCTTTCCTGTTTTGGTTCAAACTTTGTATTGGCGCTATTTTGGCCGATATACAAGTAATACTTAATGAATTATTTCTTTCAGTTGCTTATCTCTTAAATGTTAGATGGTTGATGATGAACGATTACGAAATGTTAAGAATGTTCAGCAAGTATGATTAAAGAATCAAAAATTTCAAATTTTCCGCTAAAATTAATCTATGTAAAGTAAGAATGACGTAAGCAGGCTTGTCTGCGACCTCTGAGAGGTCAACGACGCCGGTCTCGTCTGGGGCCTAGATTCCGGTCGTGACAAAGTGGGACGCTCAGCATGTGAATTGTAATTCGGCCATGTGGATATGCCTTTAAATTGGTAAAATGACACGCTTTTGGCAACGAAAGGCTCTAAATAATTGTAATTTATTAGCCTTCAGTGTTTTGCAATTGGAGAGAGTTGTGTGACTTTGCTTTCATATGGGGCTTCAGTTACCTGCCAAATGCCAATGCTGCCGGATGGCAATTAATAATATGCTTACCATGTGGCTCCATTGATGCGGTATCAAATATTATTGGAATATTCAGCAACTATTCAATGTGGCACACGGTTGACGCGGCTCAATACACCATAATAAATGTTTAAAGTGTAGATTAGATGTGGTGCTAATTCAGGGTAAGGGGTATAATCAAAGAAGGTGGTATAACTGACAAGGTTGTAATGAAATAATAACTGTTCCTTCATTTTTAATTAATAGGTATCTAGTTTCACTTCCAAGTACGGAGTTGCCTTTGTAGCGAGCCTTTACACCCAATCTGGGATTCGATGCAAATTCAAATTTAAATCGGATGAAAAAAAACAAAACTGAAAGAAGATGTTTTAATAAATAAATAGTTGTGCACGAGTGGCTTGTTCTTCTAATGCTCCCTGCCATCCACAGGAGACTTAAAAGTGAGGTGGAGCCTTATACAACACGTCTTAATTAATGCTCAATTGATCTTTACTTGCACCAAACACTAGTAATTGTTATCAGTTAGAAATAGACTAGTCTCGGAGGTTACTGGGTGGAGGAGCTAGAGGTCTCGAATTAAGAGGGCCATTTTTTGAGAAAGATCAAAAGGGACAAGTCGCTTGAAATCCAGTAACAAACAGTTTTCTTAAAAGAAAAGGCAGTTGGGCTATTTTTATTTTTGATTTTCAAAAAAAGGATTGTTTTTCACAGTTGGTTTGCTTTTTTATTTAGTGAATTTATCAGCGCTTCTATATATATATACATACGTACGTGTGTATATATATATATATATATATTAAAAATTGAATTACTATAATACCCCCAATTAAATACTTGATTTTATTTATTTATTCATTTAATTAATTTTATTATATTTACACTAGATACATTTTCACATAAAAGGGTTTTGACTTTTCTAATGAGTTGTGTCTTTTTCAAAAGGTTGTGACCTTTTCTATAGGTCTGATATTTTCGATAAGCTTTACTTTTTTGAAGGGTTGTAATTTTTCAAATGGTTGTCTTTTCCAAATGGTTGTGTCTTTTCCGATGAGTTGTGACTTTTTCGATGAGCACTGATTTTTGGAAAGGTTGTGACTTTTCTGAATACTACTATTTCTTAGCTACAAATAGAGGGGTTTCCTTTCATTTTTAATCTACGATTTTTAAGTTCTCTCTTCTTTTATTCTTCTTAAAAAATCTCAAATGTTATTTGCAACAATTTATTAAGTTCAAAATTCAACGAAATTCAAGACATCACATAAGAAAGAGCTGATGAATATAGTGTAAAAGTTTATTCATCAATTCACACGCATATTTTCCTCTTACAATTTTCATCACATACATACTTCAATATGTTTGTATCCATATGATTTATGAAGTAGCAATTCTGTCAAAATCTGTTACAAATCCTAGGTCAGGATCTATCAAATCTATAACGTCCCAATGTGTGGATGTTAGGTCATATGTTCTATTCAAACTTAGCTTTTTGATGAATAAGATGAATTCAAAACTTGAAATTTATGAATTTTCAATAATTTCAAATATATATATATATATATATATGAATATAAATGTAAAGTTTGAGCAAAAATCTTACCCAAAACCCTAACCTCGGTTTGCTTAGTACGAGTTAGTTCCTCTGTGTGATTTGTGAGTTATTACATAAAAGAGGCAGAGTGGGGTTTTACCTTGTGTCTCGTCTGTGTGATTTGTGCGGCGGAGCGTACCTTATGTGTCATCTGTGCGATTTGTCCGTCCGTGTGATTTGTGAGTTATTACATGAGCGCGACAGAGCGAGGTTTTACCTGGTGTGCATCCCAATAGCGGCGGATAGTAGCCTAGATCCGCAAGCTGAGCCATGCATGCTTAAATTGTACCAGAAACCCTAACCCAGTAGCCAAGATTCGCCGGCTTGGCCATTATGCTTAAATTGTTCCCGAAAACCCTAGATCCGCCGACTTGGCCATTCATGCTTAAATTTTTCATGAAAACCCTTACCCAATACCTTAGATCCACGGACTTGGCCATTCATGCTTAAATTGTTCGAATTCCCTTACCCAATACCCTAGATCCGCCAGTTTAGCCATGCGTACTTAAATTATTCTCGAAAACCCTAACCTGATACCTTAGATCCGCCGTTGCCCTCAAGTATGACGACCATGCGACTTTGCAGATCTGAATCAACTGCTGTTCTTGTATATTGTGGTAAGCTACTTACTAGCTTCATTGGTGACCTTATCGGTGTTCCGACTTCTTTATTTCACCATAAAAGGGGCATCAAGTAGCCATAGAAGCATTCAAAATCTCAAGGGATCTGAGCAAACCCAAGTTTCTCCTAAACAAAGTTATGATGATAACCAAACTCCAGTAATCCGAACCATTCCAATAGAAGAAGTAGTTCCAACCCAAACCATCTGCTGCAAATCACCAGATGCATGTCTACCTAACAGTACATCATCTGTTAGGATAGTTACTTCTCAAAAGCTACCTGATAATGGAAAATCGCTTCCAAAGTCTTTGTCAACCTTGAGCAACTCTCCTTTTTCTCAAGGATCGCGTTTTAACGTGCAATCTAGTGTGTGTTTGTGTGTGTATATATATATAGACATACAGTTGATTTCATATAGGAAACATTTTAAAAGTCTTTTCAGGAAATGAAATTGTCTTTAAGTTATAAGCCATGAGAATACTTATCAATTATCATAGTTGATTTGATTTTACAGATTGATGTTTCTTAGCTAGGTAATGGGAGAAGGGAGTCAGATGAGCCAGATAGAATGAAAGAAACACCAAGTTTGAGTAGTCTTTCAATTCGTGTAATATATATATTTCTAGCATAAGTACAAATCCATTTACAAAGTGTGGTGAACTACTATACAGTTAATGGAGTAGGAACTTCCAGATTAGCTGGAGAAAACATTCAGGAGCGAGCTTCTTGATCTAATCAGGCTCCTAAATGCTCCTTCTAATCCCTTCTCAATGTTGTCAAGTTGAGCCTCAAAAGTCTCCACTTTTGTTTCCATGTTCCTACTGTTTTCTAGGTCTTCATGTTCTGTTCTTCCATTGTGTATCAATTTTGATACCAATGACCATTTTGGCTGTTTCGGCTTCAAAAGTGGCACTGACAAGAAGGACAAGAGCATTTGGAAAATCAAAATACAAACTGCATTGGCTTCCCTTAGTGCTCTAATCACAGCTATTGTCTCCTGATCTGCTTCCAAGAATGCTGCGGTGAGAGTCTCACAATCCACTAATTGCTTCAAGGACAAGGCTAATCTTTTGGCGTCCTTCTTCATTTTCTTGCTGAAACTGGTGAATCTTGCAATTCCAGCTTCTGCATTTGAATCTCCTTTTCGTCTTCTGAGTGAACATTGAAGAGCTCTTACATTTTCCTTATAATGAGAGACGAATTCCTTTATAGTGCCACAAATATCAAGAATCCCAACCGAGTTTCCCAATAACTCCTCGAACCATTTGATATGTTGGCGTTGAGATATGATTCGAAAGGTTTGAGGCAACTGAAGAAGATCATCTGTGCACTTTTGTAACTCCTCCAACCCAAGCAAACTATCACAAATTGTCTCTGATGTTGGTGCAACAACTGATGTCTCCAATCCATTAAGCTTATTCAGCACCTCTTCAACTCTCTGAGTTGTGGGGTGTGATCTGTTGGGCAAACTGATCGATCGAAAAGGCTTGGTTTTTGAACAAGCAAGAGCAGCCATGTCTTTTTATGTTTTTACTTTTAGCTTTTTTGTGAGAAGAGAGACTAAATTTTGTGAGCAATGAACTTCAACCAAAGGACATTTATATAAGCACAAAAAGGGGGTCTAATACTGTGAGCATGTGATTGTAATGTGGTTATGCCCTTTAAATGTGGTGAAGTGATATACATTTAGCAAACAAAGACTCTAATCAATTGTCCTTTTTAAAATAATTGTGTAACTTTGCCTTCATAGGCAACTTCATTTACAGGTCAGCTCCCTCCTGGCTGCCAAGAGTTGTGCCATTGTTACCGGATGTCAATTAATCATATGTCTACCATGTGGCTCCAACGCGGTATTCGATTAGGCACACATTGGCTTAAGAACTTCGTGTTCGATAATAAATGGCTAAAGTGCAAATTAAGGCGTATAATGGAAGAAGGTGATATGATTAATAAATGGTTATGCACGAGTGGCTTGTTCTTCTAATGTTCCCTGCCATCCACAGCATAATAAAGTGAGGTAGACCCTTATACAACACGTTTTAATTAATGCTCAGTTGATGATTATTTGCACCAAAAAATTCTAATTTCCCCCTAATTATTGTTTTAGTTAGAAATAAACAAGTCTCAGAGGTTACTAGTGGAGGATATACAATGCTAAAGGTTGGCATAATTAGTGTTAAAAGAAAGGTTGATAATGGTTTAATTGTTGTATCATGCAGAAAGATTATGGATAAATACCCCTTTTAAAAAATGCCAATAAAGAGGGAGACGAATCTTGAGATTTTACAAATCAAAAAAGGAGATGAGAGGATAATAACGAATATAATTTAGTTTAGTGTGCACGTTGGGTTGATACTTATTTCCTCCATGTTTTCTACCAAGAGAATCTCCAAATTATAATGCTTATAATTATTGGTTCCATCATAAAATCACTTTTTCACCTTTTCAGGACTCATAAAAAATTAAAATAAACGTTGGGTCATGAGGATAAAAAAAAATAATTAAGTAGTGATTTTAAAAATAATTCTTATGTGAAATTGAAAAAGTTGAAGCTGTGTTTGATTATTATTTTTTAAATAAATATCTCTTATATATGTAAAAGTTCCCTACGTATTTTTCTTAATCAATTACAATAACTTGTAATTATTTTATGGTTGATGTATTTAATTTTATTCTGTCAGTAAATTTCTAAATTAAAATGTACAAACATTTATCATATAGTAGTTAATTTTCTTTCATATTAGTTGTGGATTTCTTCGTCTATAGAGATTAATATCCCAATTTATGATTGTATATTTGTCGTCTCATATAAGTGAGTCACTTTTCTTTTTTCATCCGATCCATCTTTTATTCTCAAAAATTATGTTTAGCCTAGCTCCGCCACATAAAGAGTTTAACCAATTGTTGTCTCTATACCCCATAAAAGCATTTTAGAGACAGTGAAAGCAAAGGTTGAATTCGTTGGTTTGAAAAAACATATTATTATTGATTTAATTTGCTTTATAAATTCAAAAATCGATATATTTGGTAACTGAAAAAAATAACCACCTAGGTACACTCTTTAGAGCCTTGGAACAACAAAGTCTAAACTAATTGGTTCATCAAAGAAGAATTTCGTGGATTTAACCAAAATATATATTCTAAGTTCATTGAGAAATTTGTTTGATAAAAATAGAAAAGAGAGACGAGAAAAAAAGGAGAGGCGGAGTTTTTGAGTATAACTATGATTTATATATGTATGTTTTTGTATGTGTAATTACAAAAATGTTTCTTTACATGGATTTCATAAGCATATCCTACATATATTGGATATGCTTATACAATACAATAATATGGTACTTTTATTGGCAAGAGACAACATTTAGTAGTGTGCTTCTTGATCTAATCAAGCATCTAAATATGTTGTCAAGACCATTCTCAATGCATTCAAAATGAGCTTCCACTCTTTCCAATTTGCTTAGTCCAAATTGGATCTTCTCCATTTCATTAGGATCACACTTGGAAAGGCTGCTTAATGCAGCATCAACACTTTCTATCTCATTCACATTGTCTTGATCTCCACCCTTGTTCACTAATCTTGAAACCAAAGACCATTTGCTAATTGGCTTACAAATTGGAGATGACAAGAAATTCAATACCATTTGGAATACTAAAATACCTATTGTGGCAACTTCTCTTAGGACTCTGATAACAGCTGAGACAAGTTGATCATCAATTTCCATTACATCAACTACTTCCTCGTGATCCATTCTTTTCAAAGCTGTAATTAAACTTTTGGCTTCTTTTTTCATCTTCTTCCTGAATGTGGTGTACTTGTTGATACTCAAATCTCCCTTTTTCCTCCTCAGTGAAGACTGAACATCTTTAACATTTTCTTCTAATTGCGACACGAGCTCCCTTGTTGTGCCACAAATATCAAGAAATCTGACAGATTTATCCAAGATTTCATCGACCCATTTCTTGTTTTGACACTGGGAAAGGGCTTGAAGAGTCGAGGGCAAGTTTAAGAGATCACCCATACACTTATGTACCTCCCCAAAACCAATTAGACCATTATAAACAGCTTCAGCAGTTGGTGAAGCAGAGAATTCCCAAGTTTTAAGCTTGTCTAGCTCCTCTTCAATGTTCTGAGTAGCTGGATGTGATCTGCTTGGCAAACTGATGGATCTTTTATTAGATTTTGATGAAAAACTTGCCATTTTTCCTCTGTTTTTTCTTTGGACTTGGGACGCAAATGTTTGGGAATATGAATTTTCCTTTAAAATTGAACCTATTTATATCAAAAGTTGTGTAGAAAGGGACAAGAAACAGAGTACTCTGTTTTTTTTTTGATTGGCATGTGCCAAAAGAGAATGGGCATTCCCTATTAGTTGGGTGAGCTTATTGTGCCACTTAGCATTATCCTATTGCTTGTTAAGTCACAAAAGATGTCTCAGCAAATACGTGGCTTCTTAATATTGTTTTGGTTGGAAGAGCCATAGTTTGTCAATGACCGGTAACAGCAAAACTCCATTATTAAATTCAGATCAAGATCTGTTATTGCTTATTGAACACCTTTTTCAGAAACTACTTTTAGTAATGTTAGATTACATATTGAAGGGATAAGGAAACTCTAGTGCTACTGTGGCAAAGGTGATACCACTACACGTATGGCTTGTTGGTTACCTTCCTCGCGAGAAAATAAAATTAACAAAGATGGGTCAAAATATCGTTAAACTATTCGAAATAGTTTAAATATATTACTGAATTATATTTTGGCTCAAATATACCCTTTCGGTTAAACTATAGGGTCAAAAATATCATTCTCATTAACATAATATGTTAAACGTCACTTGGATGTCATGTGATATCCACATGGCATGTCACATAAGCCAATAGAATTTCATTTATGCCACGTAGAAAATAAACATACCTCTAAGTTTCTCCAATTTTTTCTATTTCTCTTAGAATTTAGAAACGATTTCACGAAAGAACATAGAACCTCTTTCCCTTAGAACTTATGTATTTTGTGAAATTCTTCTAAGGAAATGGAGAAATGAGGAAAAGGGATTCTATGTTCTTCAGTGAAATCGTTTCTAAATTCTACGAAAAATGGAGAAAATTGGGGGAAATTAGGGGTAAGTTTATTTGTCTACGTGGCATGAGTGGAACTCTATTGACTTATGTGGCATGCCATGTGACATCCAAGTGGCATCTAAATGACGTTTAACCGATTTTGTTAATGAAAAGAATATTTTTAATCATATAATTTAACGGCAAGAATATATTTGAGTAGAAATATAAATCAAAAGTATATTTAAGCTATTTCTAATAGTTTAAGAATATTTTTAATCTTTTTCGTAAAATTAATTAACTGAGTTACTATGATTGGAAGGCCATACACAAATATGTTGCAGATTAATATGTCCATTAACCTAGTTGACCTGTCACATTATTTGTGCAACAAAAACCAATAATTTGCTAATTATTTAATTTGTTCAAGTTATGAGATGGTATGACAAGATCATATAGATGAAGCCACGAGTAAATACTAGGCTCCCTTCCTCCCGGGCATTGCGCCAGTACAACCACCTCATGTGTTAGTTTTTTTAAATAATATTTTTTTCTACAATTTTGTCTGCTACTACATACTTGTCTTAGCTGGAGGAGAGAAATTTTTTGAAACCACAAGGAGACAATTATCGATATGATTATTATTATATTATATTAATCAACTGATCATAATGGAGATTAAGAATAATGAGACAAAATTTTAAATTGTGCACGAATGGAAATTTGGATTTGTTTGTCCATGATAATTAACTTAGCAATCCATATAATATTATATTGTCTAACCTGGAGAGTACAATCCTTTTCTTTATAGTATACTTATAAAGAGTTGGAAACCAAAATAAGCCACAAAAATATAAAAGTTACCAAAATAAATCATTATTTTAGTAAGTAACTAAAATAAGCTTAGTGGAAGAAAAAGTTTCATTATATCCAATAATTTAAACGTTTTCCGTTAGTTTCATAACGTTTATTTTTAATATATAACGGAACTTTTTCTTACACTTTCTAAAGTGGAGTTTTTTCTTCCACTTTATAAAGTGGAACTTTTTATTTCATATTATAAAGTGAAACTTTTTATTCCACTTTATAAAGTGGAACTTTTTATTATATTTTACAAGAAACATATTTTTCACGTCTTGAATAAGCTTTTTCAATGTTGTCATATAAATTATATTGATTTGATATGTCACTACAACGGAAAAAAATATTTCATTACGTATTTTTATTATTTTATTCTGAAAAATCTATTTAAGGACATTTATACATAGTCGGTAGCACCTACAACATAAAGTCTTCTATATTTGTTCAATTCCATCTAAAAAAAATATATTCACAAACACAATGCTAAATATCCAATAAACGTCCGATATCATAAATTTATTTCATCAATTTATAAATGAATGGGTATAAACAGTACGATTATAATTTGATTATAGCCGGAAAATACCCTACTTCATTTTTATCACATGGACAAGTAAATTTTGGAAAGTGAATTATATATAATGACGAATCGTTGACCGACTTTTTAAGGGTTCCAAATTACTATATAGATCAAATCAAGTCAACAATACTTGAAATCTATGCTAGGAAGGAGCCTAAGATTAGTCAACAACGTTCTCCTTTATTAGTCGATGTTCATCCCTAATTAGAAAATTATAATAGCATTGATGAATTTGCGATAACTCAATCTACTGATTTTCCTAAAATGACTCATTACAAAATACTCTTACCGACCGATATGATTTTGATTTAAACAAAACTATCAATGATAGTGATCGGTAATGCTCAATTATTATATTTCAATTATTGTTTGTTGATTTTATCAATTATTTATTAATTTATATTATTTATTATTCTTATTATTGTATATTTTGTAGCGGTTTACCTCAGCAAGATAGGGATATTGCTCCAAGTTATGGACTAAATAATTATTTTGGTTAGTCCTCACATTTTGAAATGACGTTGGGATATCCTTAAATTTTCATGTCTCGCCTACTTTTGACGCAGATGATTATCGCTATGTCTAACACTTATTTTTTAAAATGAATTTTTTATGCAACCATCTTCAAAGTGATTTTTTTTTGGAAACCATGAAAAGAAAAAGGAGAGAAGGTGAAGGTGAAGATGAAAAGGTAACTTTTTATAAAGTGGAAGAAAAAGTTCCGTTATATATTAAAAATAAACGTTATGGCAGTAACGGTAAACGTTAAGAAAATTGGATATAGTGGAACTTTTTCTTCCACTAAGCCTATTTTAGTTACTTACTAAACTAGTGGCTTATTTTAATTACTTTTATATTTTTGTGGCTTATTTTGGTTCCCAACTCACTTATAAACTGCTTAATTCCAAATTAACGCGTTATTATAAATGTATCCCATTTTGTGATGGATGAACTCCTAACTAAGATCACCGATTTCTTCCTGATATTTAATTAAATATTGTTTTAAAGATGGATTTTTATAATAGATTTATTTATATCATTCCAAAAGATTATGGAAGAATATTTTTTTCAAAGAATCAACAAATGTAGAGAAGAATAGGTAATGAGTTATAACTTATAAGTATTTCAAGGATTTGAAATCTAATTAAACAGACGAAGAATCTCGTGATTATATTTTTCACTAATTAATAAATAGATTCAGTGGTTAAGACGAATAACACATACTTTAGATAAATGTGCACGAGTGACTTGTTGCATAGATATTTCCTTGGTCCGTTTAAATACAGCTAATTTCCTTTTTTTAAAAATCAACATATATTACCATCATTCATGAGATCATCATCTCAGCCATGTCCTTTATTTGCACTTCTATCATTTATTAAATGCGTAGGAAATAAATTTTAGAGTTACTTTAAATCATTTTATTTTACGCGGCTCATACAAAAAAGTAATTTTCATTTTTTAACTTATCTAAGTTAGCATATACTAATAAAGATTTTTTTCTTTCTTCCGATATTATAAGTCAAACTCGAATTTCTTAAAAATAATTAAAATAAAGAATATATAGTAAAACGAATCCCTCGAAAATGTCAAAGTTAACTTGAGTAAAATGAAATGATACCACTAGGTTACTTTATTGATGAATCATGATAACTGAAATTCATGTTTTGATCAGTTTATGAGTTAGAAAATTATGTATTTGAGGTATTTTTCTGTTATATATGTGAGGGTATATATACTTGCCAGATTGTTGTTGATGGTAAATTAGAAAAATAGTCAAGAGAAAGACAGGCAAAATTTGTGAGTATAAAACTAGGATTCTGTATGTGTGTAATTACAAAAAAAATTCCTTTACAAGGTTTTCATAAACAATTCCTACAATTACTCGGATGCTTATGATGTACAAGACTATTTTCATTGGCAAGAGACAACATTTAATAGTGTGCTTCTTGATCTGATCAGACATCTAAATATGTTATCAAGACCATTCTCAATGCATTCAAAATGAGCTTCCACTCTTTCCAATTTTCTTTGTACAAATTGAATCTTCTCTACTTCATTAGGACCACACTTGGAAAGGCTGCTTAATGCAACATCAACACTTTCTATTTCATTCACATTGCCTTGATCTCCACCCTTGTTTACTAATCTTGAAACCAAAGACCATTTGCTAATTGGCTTAGAATTTGAGGCTGACAAATAATTTAACAAAATTTGGAAAACTGAAATTCCCATTGTGGCAACTTCCCTTAGGACTCTGATAACAGCTGAGACAAGTTGATCATCCACTTCCATTACATCAACTACTTCCTCGTGATCCATTCTTTTCAAAGCTGTAACTGAACTTTTGGCTTCTTTTTTCATTTTCTTCCTGAATGTGGTGTAGTTGTTGATGCTCAAATCTTCTTTTCTCCTCCTTAGTGAAGACTCAACATCTTTGACATTTTCCTTAAATTGCGATACGATATCCCTTGTTGTGCCACAAATATCAAGAAATCTCACAGATTTATCCAAGATTTCATCGACCCATTTCTTGTTTTGGCATTGAGAAAGGGATTGAAGTGTCAGAGGCATGTTTAAGAGATCAATCATGCACTTATGCACCTCTCCCAAACCAATTAGACCCCTGTAAACAGCTTCTGCAGCAGTTGGTGAAGCAGAGAATTCCCATGTTTTGAGCTTGTTGAGCTCCTCTTCAATAATCTGGGTAGCTGGATGTGATCTGCTTGGCAAACTGATGGATCTTTTATTTGATTTTGATGAAAAAGTTGCCATTTTTTCCCTCTGTTTCTCTTTGGGGAGGAAGAAATACCTCCAAAACTCATCTTATTTATACTAAAAAAAAGAAGCTCCACAGGAAGCGACAAGATACAGAATAGTCCGCTACTATAGCGTTGGGATTGCCATGTGACGAGAGCGTGGGCATTACCTAAGAGTTCGGTGAGCTTATTATGCTTCAAAATAAAAAAAAGGAACTTTAGAAATTAGTGAATTTTTTAATGGATTTTGTCTTCCAGAGGTTGCAACTTGGCTTTACCTAATTGCTTCTAAGAAGATGAAACATGTCTCAGCACATACGTGGCTTGTTGATGTTGTCCTTGGTTCAAAGAGCTTTAGTTTATCAATTGGAAACAGCAAAGCGCCACTATTAAATTGAGATGAAGAGTGATTCTCGTACGACTTTTTTAAAAGATTATATCGAAGGGATAAGGGAAGTCGAGTGATACTGTGGCAAAGGTCACAGTACTATTTAAAATTGTACATTTATTTGTTTGATACTTATCGAAATGGTATTTTTTACCTACTCCTGGTAGTTATGAGATGGGTAATTGGCTGGTTTCTTTCCTCCCGAGTATATATTTCCTACTAGAACATGACTTTATGAGGGTGTCTTAGCTGGAAGAGTGGAACTCTTCCAATATGATTAAAGAAATGAATAATGAAGCAAATTATTTAATTGTGCACGAACTGAAGGCTGGATTTGTGTGTCCATGATAATTACTCTAATTCAGTAACCGGCAGAACTTGTCTAATCTGGAGATTTCATTAATCAATAAAGAGATTCAGTGGTTATGGAGATAGTGACAAATAATACTAATGTTTTATTTAGGTATACACGAGTGGCCTGTTGCGCTGATGTTTCCTTGGTCCGCATCTTCTACTCTGGATATCTGATTAAATTAAAAAAAAAATTATACTATTTAATTACTCATCATAGTTATAATTTGGTATAATTACGGCTTGTGATTAATGTTATACATTAATTATTTGCGTTGTCTTCAAGTTTGTATAATTAGTCACGTTTATATATGTGTGATTCGCCAGAATATATAAATACTATGTATAATATATAATTATGTAATTGATATACATATACAATTCATCTCTCTGCCTTCTCTCACTCGCCTCTCTCTCCCCATTCTTGATCGCCTCTCTCCTTCCTCTCCCAATCTCGATTGCCATATATACAAATGCATATATAATAATATATAATTATTCAACCGATATACATATATAATTCACCTCTCTCCCATTATTTGTCCTCTCTCACTCGCCTCTCTCCTTCTACTCTCGCTTGCCATATATACAAATACATTTGTATAATATATAATTATCTAACCGATATACATATATAATTCACCACTCTTTGCGATCTCTTGCTTGCCACTCTCCTCTCTCTCCCAGTCTGACTCGCTTTTCTCCTCCCTATAAATGTACTACGAATTATAATTATCAAATTATAGCTATGAAGAAAAAAAATAGGCTATTTTTGAGTGACTATATGTTAAAGTTCCTCTAAATTAATGCGTGAATACAGCTAATTTCTTAGTTCTTACAATCCAGTTAAGCAGATGGTCATAATATTCAATTATTATAGGTTGAATCAGTTAATTATCACAAAGAAATACTATTCAACACGTCGAATTAATTGATTGGAAATCCCAAATTAAGTCACCTGAACTCGTTCAGTATAATATCAGGAGGGATGGAATTATAAGGCTTGAGCAATCTTACATCTTTAATTTAGTTTTTGGGGAGTGAATTAGGCACAATGCCTTTGACGTTCTATCAGAGGAGTAATTAGAATGGGTTAGAGTCTTTGGGAATACATTAGCAGTCTGCTTAAAAGGATTCGGACAATCCTAATTTCATGATCTAGTTTTGAGGTTGAGTTACTCCGTTCAACAATAAATCATGAGGATAAAGAGTACTACTGGAATTCATGAGTTGAGTTCGTTGTTTGCTAAGTAGAATGTTACGATGTATTTGAAACAACTCAGCTTCAGCTATATATGTGAAGGGAACAAAAGTTTATCCTTTCATTTTTGTATGGTTAAACTTAATAGAAATATAGACAATAGAGAGAGAGGCACAGCTTGTGAGTACTATAACTTTGATACAACTATCCAGTAAATTTCTCCGTATGAATGTAATTACAAAAATTGTTTCTTTACATGGAGTTCACAAGCATATCCTACAAATATTTGGATATGCTTATGCAATGCAATACATGACCATAGTAGTATTGTATTTTCATTGGCAAGAGACAACATTTAATAGTGTGCTTCTTGATCTAATTAAGCATCTATAGATGTTGTCAAGACCATTCTCAATGCATTCAAAATGGGTTGCCACTCTTTCCAATTTGCTTTGTACAAATTGAATCTTCTCTACCTCATTAGGACCACACTTGGAAAGGCTGCTTAATGCAGCATCAACACTTTCTATCTCATTCACATTGTCTTGATCTCCACCTTTGTTCACTAATCTTGAAACCAAAGACCATTTGCTAATTGGCTTAGAATTTGAGGCTGGCAAATAATTTAACAACATTTGCAAAACTGGAATTCCTATTGTGGCAACTTCTCTTAGGACTCTGGTAACAGCTGAGACAAGTTGATCATCAACTTCCATTACATCAACTATTTCCTCATGATCCATTCTTTTCAAAGCGGTAATTAAACTTTTGGCTTCTTTTTTCATCTTCTTCCTGAATGTGGTGTACTTGTTGATACTCAAATCTCCTTTTCTCCTCCTCAATGTAGACTGAATATCTTTAACATTTTCCTTAAATTGTGATGTGATCTCCCTTGTAGTGCCACAAATATCAAGAAATCTCACAGATTTATCCAAGATTTCATCGACCCATTTCTTGTTTTGACACTGAGAAAGGGATTGAAGTGTCAGAGGCAAGTTTAGAAGATCAATCATGCACTTATGCACCTCCCCCAAACCAATTAGACCACTGTAAACAGCTTCTGCAGTTGGTGAAGCAGAGAATTCCCAAGTTTTAAGCTTGTTAAGCTCCTCTTCAATATTCTGTGTAGCTGGATGTAATCTGCTTGGCAAACTGATGGATCTCTTATTGGATTTTGATGAATAAGTTGCCATTTTTTCCTCTGTTTTTCCTTTGGGGATGAAGAAAGACCCTTCAAAACTCATCTTATTTATACCAAAACTTCACAGAAAGCGACAAGATACAGAATAATTCGCTAATATGGCGTTAAGATTGCCATGTGACGAGGTGTGGGCATTACTTAAGAGTTCGGTGAGCTTATTATGCTTCAAAATATAAAAGAACTTCAGTCATTAGTGATTTTTTTTTATTGATTTTGTGTTCTCACAGGTTGCAACTTGGCGTTACCTTATTGCTTCAAAGTGGATGAAAGATGCCTCAGCACATACGTGGCTTGTTGATGTTACTCTTGGTTCAAAGAGCTTCAGTTAGTCATGAATCGAAAACAGCTAATCGCCACTATTATTATTATTATTATTTTTTGAGATATTAACTCGTCTTTCGTTTTGGGCATTGGCCAGTTGAACCATCTTCCTCTATCATTTGTTAGGTTTTTCATATGTTTTTCTTTCTTTTAGTACTTTGTCTGGAAGAACATGGCTTTCTGAGATTGTCTTAGCTGGACGAGTGGAACTCTTCAATACTTAGGAGACAAGCATCGACATGATTATATAAATAAATCATCTGCTTATAGTTGAGATTAAGAATAATGAAGAAAATTATTTTAATTGTGCACGAATGGAAGGCCTGGACTTGTATGTTTGTGATAATTACTATAATTTATTGTTTAATTCTAAGTCAGCATTTAAAGGATATCAGATCTAATTATTAGAGTTCCTTATTTAGTTAGGTGTGCACGAGTAGCCTGTTGCGTTGATGTTTCCTTGGTCCCTTTTTTCTACTAAGAGAATCCTCAATAATTAATGCTTAACAGCTAATTACTTACAGTCCAGTTCAACCGATGGTCATGATATTCAATTATAAGTAGAATCAGATAATTAGCTCAAATAAATAGTACTTAACATGTCAAATGATCGTAGAATCCTATGCAGGGTGTGACCTAGTGGTCAATGAAATAGTTGAAATTTTAAGGTCTCAGGTTCAAAATTTAGTAGACCTGGTGAGTAGAGTTATCTAGTATTTGATGCAAGTGGGAGATGACAGACATTAATTTAGGTGCGTAAAAACTTTGTTCAGAGATGACATTCATCAAAATATGTTTAAATTCGTCCTTTAATTTTTGTTTGGTTGAAGTTTAATTTTTAAAAAATAAACAGAAAAAGAGGCACAATTTGATATAGCTATATAATAGTAAATTTTGTTGTATGTATGTGCAATTACAAAAATGTTCCTATACATGAATTTCATAAGCATATCCTACAAATAATTGAATAGGCTTATATAATACAAGACAATACTATAGTATGTTCATTGGCAAGAGACAATATTTAGTAGTGTGCTCCTTGATCTAATCAAGCATCTAAATATGTTGTCAAGACCATTCTCAATGCATTCAAAATGAGCTTCCACTCTTTCCAATTTGCTTAATACAAATTGGATCTTCTCCGTTTCATTAGGATCACACTTGGGAAGGGTGCTTAATGCAGCATCAACACTTTCTATCTCATTCACATTTTCTTGATCTCCACCCTTGTTCACTAATCTTGAAACCAAAGACCATTTGCTAATTGGCTTACAAATTGGAGCTGATAAGAAACTCAACACCATTTGGAATACTGAAATTCCTATTGTGGCAACTTCTCTTAGGACTCTAATAACAGCTGAGACAAGTTGATCATCAATTTCCATTACATCAACAACTTCCTCATGATCCATTCTTTTCAAAGCTGTAATCAAACTTTTGGCTTCTTTCTTCATTTTCTTCCTGAATGTGGTGTAGTTGTTGATGCTTAAATCTCCTTTTCTCCTCCTCAGTGAAGACTGAACATCTTTAACATTTTCTTCTAATTGCGACACGAGCTCCCTTGTTGTGCCACAAATATCAAGAAATCTGACAGATTTATCCAAGATTTCATCGACCCATTTCTTGTTTTGACACTGGGAAAGGGCTTGAAGAGTCGAGGGCAAGTTTAAAAGATCACCCATACACCTATGCACCTCCCCAAAACCTACAAGACCATTATAAACAGCTTCTGCAGTTGGTGAAGCAGAGAATTCCCAAGTTTTAAGCTTGGTAAGCTCCTCTTCAATATTCTCAGTAGCTGGATGTGATCTGCTTGGCAAACTGATGGATCTTTTATTGGATTTTGATGAAAAAGTTGCCATTTTTTCTCTCTTTTTTTGGGACTCGATTTGTTTCGGGGATATGATTAAATGCCTTTGAAACACAATCCTATTTATACCAAAATTGTATTAGAAAGCGACAAGAAACAGAGCACTCTGTTTTTTTTAGATTGGCATGTGCCAAAAGAGAATGGGCAGTCCCTTGTTGTGCTTCCTAAAAACAAACCTTTAATGATTGCCCATTCTTTTAATTTTCTTCGTCTTCAATAGGGTTGCCACTTTGCATTACCTTATTGCTTGTGAGTGATGAAGAAAGATGCCTCAGCATATACGTGGCTTCTTAGTATTGTGTTGATTGGAGGAATCATTGTTCTGTCAAGTGGAAACAGCAAAGCGCCATTATTAAATTGACGTGAACATCTTTTGTGGCAGATTTTCATACTACTTTTTTACGCAAAAAAAATGGAATTTTCTAGAAACACGATTGTTGCAGTTTTGGCAAGGTGTATATTATATTTGGAACACGTATGATTTATTGGTTACCTTCCTCTTTTAAATTAATGGTTTAAACCTAATGAATTCTAGTTTCTAATCCATTATGAAAGAGAATTGTCCAGGTTTAGCCACGATATACATATGAGATTATTTTATCAACTTGTAGATATTCATCATCTTTTTATGTTTTTAATAAAATCATCGATTTGGCTTTTTAATATATGATGATTGTAGGTATCACAATGTGGTCATCAAACTGAGCTCCTCATTGTGGGTTATTTGCAGTTTTTCCCTCCATTTTATTTGTGTTATCATTATAATTTATCATAAGTTATGTATGCATTTTTAGACTATGCATCAATTCTAGTAATATAAAAGGTAAAAAAAATTTAAGAATAACTTATTTAAATGATAAAAATTAAAGACGGATGTTTAAAGGACAAAATGTATCATTTTATGCCTAATTATCTTGGTTTGAATGGAAATATTTTTAAGTATATGTATTATACGTTTCATCCCAATTTGAGCTTTACGTCGATCCAAATGTTTACTAATTTTCTTTCTAAATATTTTTCCTTATTTTTCCCATCAATGCACATCCTTCGGAAAAGATAAAATTATTCTGAAAGAAAAATAGATAAAATTCAAACAAAAAAGGCATCTGGTAAAATAATAAAAAACAAGCATAAACTAATAAAGGTATTGTATAATAATAATATTTTAAAAAAAATCATAGGGTACCTAGGTCCCAAGGAAATTAAATAAAAGAGAGATGGAATAGAACAAGCTACACATTTTTCTCCTATCACCATGAAGAAATGCAATGCATAGACAATTGTATGACTATGAGCATGAACAGACAAAAACATTAAACATATATGATTTAAAAAATGTCGAATGAGTTGAATCTGTGTGATGCAAGAAGCAGTACAAGTAAAATTGATATCTATACAAAGAACTTATAATCAAAACACAAGTACACAGCAGCATGTACTCATGTTATTATTATACATGCATGGGAACTTAATGTTAAAGAAGTGAAAAATTGACCATTCACAAATGTCTAGTATGGGTATTGGGGATGGTGGAGCCACAAATTTTATCTATTTCCTATTATAATTAGGAAAACTCAAAAATTGAATGTTTGAACTTACCTAAAGTTTTATATGAATTTTATACAGTAAAAAAAAACAATGTGTTTAAGGTAATTGTTCAACTCTTTCTGCTCGCTCCTCCGTTCTCATACCTATATTAATTACTTATGTGTAGTACTTAATTAATTACATATTGACTAATTTTACATGAAAATGGCTTTTAGTTAACTTCAATTAATCAACATACATGAGGCATGGGCTTTTGGTGGTAAGGGTGACAAAATGGAATTAATATGGACATTATATTGTTGAAACATCACATGAAAGATGGGCTTTGATTTGATCATACAGTTTTACTAGTAAGATACATTGAATTTGAGTATATGTTCAAGTCGATTCTCCTACTAAAATTTCACTATCCCACAATCGTACGTAATTGGCTTATTATTTTTTTTTTCTGGTTCGTATTAATTTTTTTTATTGTCGTTATTTATTTTGTTATAGGGCATTGGATAGTACCAACAAAATCAATATGTTATCATATAGGTTAGCATGGCTGAGTGGTCGACTCAAGTTTTGATTTTGGGTTCAAATCCCACTTCTAACATTTTAGAAATATTTTTTTCCTTTATTAAATTCACAATACTTTAAAACCAATAATCTCAACAATACATTTTTCTTTTTTTTCCTTTATAACTCACAATTTAAAACCAATAATCTCAAAAATACATTTTTCTTTTTTTTTTCCTTTATGAAATAACATTTTTCATAATACATTTTAGAAATATTTTTTTTCCTTTATAACTCACAATACATTAAAACCAATAAATCAACAATACATTTGTCTTTTGTGCTTTGTAACTCACAGTACTTTAAAAACTAATCATCTCAACAATACATTTTTTTTTCGCAATCTTACCTAAAATTCTGTTTTCTTGATGGAATACCATTTTCCATAATACATTTTAGAAATATCTTTTTCCTTTATAACTCACAATACTTTAAAACCAATAATCTCAACAATACATTTTCTTTTGTCCTTTGTAGCTCACAATACTTTAAAACCAATCATCTCAATAATACATTTTTTTGTCGCGATCTTACTTGAAATGTTGTTTTGTTGATGGAATACCATTTTTCAAGAACAAATTCCCTTAAAAGTTAGGTTAACCTATATCATAAAGCCACATTAGAATAATAAAACAATAACTTAACCTATTTCATGAAGCTACATTAGTTTAGAATTACATATACATTAATTTATTCTATATATATTGAATCAGGAGAGCATGTACTTAACAAATACAAAACAAAATGTTCGGCTAAAGAGTAGGATTAATTTGCAATTAGTGCTTGCAATATAATCTCAGTTTTTTTGGATGATGCCATCAGCCATGAGAGTGATTTCGTTGAGGATTAAGTTAATTAATTGGAGAAGATTTGGACAAGACCAAAAGGAAATGTGGGGACATACATTAGCACATGTGTTATGTCTCAAATTAGATGTTACTTTGGCCAAATATTTTTTTTTAGAGAAAATACGTGTTACTCGTAGATAAAAATGTTTACACCAAGATGCATTGTGAAAAGTTTGGTCACACTAATTGCTACTCGAAATGATTTTTAAATTGCGAAATATATCTGAATTTTGATCGAAATTACTGTAATAATATCAAATTTTTGAAAGGACCTTTTACTCCAAATACTATTTAATAATGTATTTCAAATGTATTTATGTGTTCACGTGGACATCATAAATATTGCATCATTATAAATAGTACCTGTCCATTTGGACACATATATACACTTAAAATACACTATTAAATAGTGCAGGAATAAAAGGTCCACCATAAAGTTTGATATCGTAACAACAATTTCGGCCAAGATTGGAGTATTTTTTAGATTCTTTTTCGTTTTAAATTTATTGATCAAACACAAATGATTTCGTGTTTTTTTTAAAAAAAAAAATACCTTTCTGTGCAACAATAGTTGTCCACTATTGACTTACCCACCCTTTAATAAGAAAAAATAAATAATAGGGATAATATTACTATATTATCATTTGATTTTATTAAATTTAATGTTTTGAGAAATTGTTAGATGATAACTAGTATTTAATAGCAAAGGTAAAATAGACATAAAAGATAAATTATCATTTGATGTTCTAAACTGGACAATATTGTCGGCCAACTCTTTTTAATATAGTGGACAACTATGAACGAACTTAGTAATTTAAATTTACTTCAGCTTCCTGTTTACATTTAATTTCGTGATCTGATTTCAAAAGAATCGGTAAAAATTGAGCTGATGAGTTATAAAGTTGTTAGACGAAAAAGATTACATAGAACCAAACAATAGTAGTAATATTATTAGAGTAGAGCAAAGAAGAAAGAGAGCTTCTTCTTTAATTCAGAAACATGAAAACTCTCAGCAATACTCAATACTAAGCAACATAAGCTGCTTCCCTAATTTGAGAAAAAAAATAAACAAGAAAAACTTCAAACTTTTGAAAGGAAAAAAACAACCCATTTGATTGAACATAGGTGTTTATTTGTTTAAGCCAGTCGCATTTTTAACTGCATTAGTCGCATCCTGTGCCTTGGCCTGCATTTGCTGCCCCGCCTATAAACCAAATATAACACATTAGTTTTTTTGGTCTAATAATAAATCAGCTAAAAGTGTATGTATATATCAATGGCCAAATTACCTCCTGCATTGTTTCCCTGGCAGATTGTGCAGCATTGGCGGCCCTGTCCATCATCTGGTTACCTTTTTCCTGATGTAAATATAACAACATATATCACACGTTATCAAGGGCTGAGCTACATAATCTGAATAGAATAGATTCTATTTGTGTTAAATCATAGGTAAATAAGTGAACCATAGTTTTGTTTGTATATACATAATAAATTGTTGCATCCCCTCGATTTGTTATTCTTGCATTTTTTTCCCCAAATTCATTTAGTATTAGAATTTCTGGTTCCATCAATGATCTTCGAGCACGTTAAAGGAAAATTGAATGTTCAAGTAATATCATGTAAATTACCTGAGCTTGGCCCTTGGCTTGGCCAGCTTGGTAGCTCAAGTTCTGGGAGTTATCCATGAGTTTTGGAATAGAAATGGAGAAACTAGTGTTACAGAGTGAGGAAACAAACTCTTTGTCGAAGAAATTATGAATTGCTTGTTGATGTTTTGTTTTAGTAAAACTTTGGTATTTATAGATCTTGAAGTCCATTCAGTGCTCGACACTTGTTAACCTTGGTTGAAGGGTGAGACACATTTCTAGGCCTCAATATTGGGAAGCAGTTAACAAAAAATTAGCCTTGTAGTAATGAAAAAAAAATAATTCTACAAGAATGGGTCTCATTATCTTTTGGATCTGTCATATAGTAAAATATTAATCGAAATGCAAAATAAACAAACTAGTAAAGAGGAATGATTGAACTTTGGTTTAGCATATTTCACTTCCAAATATTACAAAAATTGATGATCAAGAATATATAGGCATATGCTTATAAAAATGTATGCCTTAAATATTAATACTAATGTACAATATCTTCTAAGGAGTAAGGATGTTGAGAAGGCAGACTCTGTTTCTGATTAATAGCCTTGACAAGCACTCTGTGCCAGCCTCAATAGCTTGAAGACCTGTATTTAATATCTGCAGTTTCATCGATACATCAACTTTATAATCGTTGTTGTGAAGGTAAGAACAGAGAGCAAGATCAACACATTCAACCTTATTGATTGTCTTTTCATCTCCCTTATAAGCTATTGATTTTGTTAAAAGCATTTTTGATAGCAAAGACCACCTGTTTTGCTTAGCCTTTGAAGCTGGCGAAGACAAGAAATAAAGTTGTGAACTTTGGACTGAGATGGTCAAGATTGATACTTGTCTTAGTACTCCAAATAGCTTAGATAAAGATTGATCTAAATCAACTTGAGTAAATGATTCTATCTTGTTTTCTATTTGTTTTGGTACTTTGAGGCTCTTGGCTATATCCTTTTTCAATTTTTTTCTTAAACTTATGTAGGCATTGAAGCAACTTTGTGTTGACACTCAATTTTGATCATCCACGATTTGATTAATTTTTAAAACTTCTTAGATCTTAAACAAATGAAAATAATTGATTTTTATCAAAAAAAGTAAAAAAATTCTGCCTTTTCCACATCGTTTTTCAAACAATTTTCAATTTTGCAGCAGTCCCACATCGGTATTTCATCCTTTTTGAAGATTTTTGGATTTCTATATAAACCCACTTCATTCCCTATTATAAGAGAGGAATTTTTAGGGGAAGACCAAATAGTACCCATAAAATTTTGAGAATTCTTGGTTTTATAGTTCAAAATTTTAAAGTGATTTTGTGGTTTTTCGAGTTGAGGAGAGGGAGTCGTCTCCTTCAAAAGCCAAAAGCGTAGTTTCGGTTCGCTGCCCAGTACCAGGTAATTTTTTTTTCTTAGCCTTGTTTTATTTAATTCCCAGTTCTTTTATGCTTTCTATTTATTTGGTGTTCTTAGCTTTGTTTTTGGTTTCCTGTGTTTTACTTTGGTTTAACAGCAGCCAAGAATGTTTTCTGTATTCTCACTGTTATGATTTTTGTTATAAATTTTCCAAGCATCTTAGGTGTTTTGTTTGTGTTTCTTATCCGAGATTAGTTTTAAAGTCTATTGTATTTTGGATTTAGTTCTTGCATTTGTTCTTGTGAACAATTAAGCATTTGGATTCGTATGTGCGCTTTTTTTAGAAATGTCAAATATATTAGTTTAGGTTCTGTTGCTCATGTTCTTCACTGTTGATATTTGTTCAAGTTTTAGGTTGTTAATTTGTTTTGGTATAGTTTTGAGTTCCTTTTGTAATTGTTACTTCAAACTTGTTTTTTTTCAAATATGTGAGTTCCTTGTAGATATAGTTTTGGGAACCATACTATAGATTTTTCTTTAAGTTTGGAAAAAAGTTTTCAAATAACTGCTTCATGAGTTTTATTTTTCTAGAATTCCTAAGCTGACCATTTTGGAAATTGTTCGCTCACTCCTGTTCCCTGTTAAATTTTTCGTTGTTCTCCCTAGTTCTCATATCTTTTCCCTTGCACTGCTGGTCATTATTTCATAGCATATATAATAAAAAGAAAACATAAAAGAGTTGGGAATTAAATAAAACAAGGATAAGAAGAAAAAGAAATTTACCTGGTTCTGGGCAGCGAACCGGAACTACGAGTTTGAAAGAGACAACTCCATCTCCTCAACTCGAAAAAACACAAAATCACGTTAAAATTTTGAACTATGGAACCAAGAATTCTCAAAATTTTATGGGTAAATTGGTCTTCTCCTAAAAAATTTTCCCTTAAAATAGTGAATGAAGTGGGTTTATATAGAAACCCAAAAATCCTCAAAAAGGATGAAATACCGATCTGGAACTGTTGTAAAATTGAAAATTATTTGAAAAACGATGTGGAAAAGGCAGAATTTTTTTATTTTTTATTTTAGATAAAATCAATTATTTTCATTTGTTTAAAATCTAAAAAGCTTTAAAAGTTAATCAAATCGTGGAGGGTCAAATTGGGTGTCAACAGATGCCCCTCTTTGCTTAGGATGGATGAAAGAGATGTGAGGCAAACGAAATTGACAAATCCAATTTGGTCCGACCATTAATTCATTTTCTCCTAAATGAAATTGCCTCTCCCACATCGTTTCTCAAACAATTTTCAATTTTACAATAGTCTCACATCGGTATTTCATCCTTTTTGAGGATTTTTGGGTTTCTATATAAACCCACTTCATTCACTATTTAAAGGGAGGATTTTGGAGGGGAAAACCAAAGAGTACCCATAAAATTTTAAGAATTCTTGGTTTCATAGTTCAAAATTTTAAAGTTTTTTTGTGGTTTTTCGAGTTGAGGAGATGGAGTCGTCTCTTTCAAACTCGTAGTTTTGGTTCGCTGACCAGACCCAGGTAAATTTTCTCTTAGCCTTGTTTTATTTAATTCCCGGCTCTTTTATGTTTTCTGTTTATTATATATGCTTAGCTTTGTTTTAGTAGTCATGTGTTAGACTTCGATTTGACCTTTTAGTAGTTACTAATGTTTATTTTGTTCCTATTGTTTTATTTATTTTTGTATAGTTGAAAATTTCCTAGATCCTTTGATGTTCTGTTCATATTTATCGCCTGTTTTGGTATCAAATATTAATGTGCGTTTCGGCCCTAACCCTTTGCTTGTTCCTATAGTGATAAGAATTCAATTATGTGTTTACACAACTGATTCATACAAATATTGAATGTTAGTTCAAGTCCTCCATTAAGAGTTGTTGCTTCGATTTTGAAAATGGCATGAGTTGTTGTTGGTTTGTCTCTTCACTTATTTTCCGAGATGTTTTTCCAGTAATCTCCCAATTTCATGTCTTTGTTTCTTCATGTTTCACTCTGTGTTTCTTGACTAAAATGTAGACTTCATAGTTAGTGATAAAAGAGGATTCATTAAGATAAGTCTTTCCTTATATATGAAGTTGTCTCCTTTATAAAAATTTTATTAATCGTATTACTAGAATTTTCATTAGTTTACTGTTAATATTCAAGCTTCCCTTTAGAATACTAGTTGCTTATGTTATCAAGGATCTACATCCGTATTGATATTTATTTGTATTCTCTGTTATAATAGTGCATAGGTTAAGATATTTTACTCAATACATAGAGCATTTTCCTATTTTGTTGAAGTCAAGGCAGTGTTTTTTTTTATGTTAGTAATTTTGGTTATTTGGTTTGTTTGATAGCAAATTGTGTTTTGTGTATTTTTGTTTGATAGTAGTTCATTTTTATCTCAGTCTTGTTCAAGACACATGTTATTAATTCATCGTTCAAGGTGCTAATTCTCTTTTATTTGTTTGATTGCATGTGAAATCACTTTCGAGTCCCCATGGACTTCATTCCCATCTCTTGCACTTCTTCCTTGAGCCATAAAGGCTCAAAACATCTTCCTCGACTCGTAAATTCCTTTTAAACAGGTGTACAGGTTGAAAAACAGCAGAAATGCACAGCTGGAAATTGATTACTGGTTCATCAGAACCTGAAAAGTTGCTGGAAATTAATTTACAGGTGTTGAAGATGATGTATACCTGCTGTATACATATTGTATATACTGATATACAGGTTGACAGGCGTACAGGAAGCAAAAATTCGAAATCTGGGTTGATATCCCTCCAGATACACTGCTGAAAAGGAGCTTTCAACTTTCGAAAGTTGAAAAAAAAGGCTGATATACAGATTGTATACACTGATATACAGATATGCTACACCATAAATAGGTGTAAAAAGTGTGAATTGCAGGTTAACATACAGAGACGCCAAATTCATATATAATGCAGGAATAGGAAATGAATACGTGCATAGAATACAGCTCGTATATATTGATATACATCTTTTGGGCAGCGATATACAATTATTAAAACAGGATAAAAAATGGTACAGATACAAAGGCGCTGAAATAATATGGAAAATACAGAGGAATCGCGAGAAATGCGTATTCAAACAAAATACATGGCTCAAAAGTCCAAAATGGAATTGGATGTATATCGTATACATCAGTATACATCATTATATACCTGTTTCTTTTTTTTTCAGGAAAATTGGGCCAGGGCCCTTCAGCAATTTTTAAATAGGCCCAAAAGCCTAATGTTTTTGCAGATTTTAATTAGTTAAGGGGGCCCAAGCCTACATTTTAAAAATCAGTATGGACAGGTGGGCCAAAGCCCAATTTTGATGAATTTGGGTATTTAGCCCAAATTCAAAATGTTCTTTTCTCTTCCTCTTTTATTTATATATTGTTTGAATTAATTAATATTTGGTAGAATTTTAATAATCTCCTAAAGGCCAACCATTTCTTTTATTATTATAAATTTCACTATTTTTTTTACTTAGTTTGTTTTTTATTGACTTTTGTCAAAAGTTTAGGTTATTTCCCGTTAGAAATTTCCTCTAAATATTTCTCCTTATAAATAACAAAAAGAATAAAAAATAGAATAAAATATATAAAACAAATTTTCTCTTTACTTAATTAAAATTTTAAATTTATTTAAGAGTCATTTAGTCAAATCGACGATCAACTGAAGTTAGCGGGCATCCCGAAGGCAAAACATCTTCTCGGGATGTACATTTGAACTTTGAACTTTTTTCAAATGATTTTATCTGTTTTGAATCTTTTGAAATTAATTTTAAAGTTTTTCTTGATTTTGTCAAAAATCAAGTGGCAACTCCGTAATTTAGAAAGTTGATTTTTCTTAGATAATAAAATTAATTTATTTTCCGAAACTTAGTCATTTTTACTATTTTTAAGCAAAGAATATTTTTAAACATAAAAACACTCTGTATGCTTTGATTGAAGATCTTGCACTTGCTCCTTCATCATCAAGACTAGTTCCCTCGTCGTGCTACACGAGTCAATTAATCCAACAGAGGCCTCAAGGGCTTCCTCCGCTAATCGTCCCATTTGAATCGCCGGGGACACTAGAAGGTCTTGAACACAATTATACAACTCTGCTAGCCCTACAAGACCTTGTTGAATGGTGTTTAAACTAAAAGGTGTAGTTGTTGAAGAAATTGATGTTGATTCCCATGTTTTGAGCCTGTTTAGCTCAATCTCAACTCTGAGATACTCTGGCTGTGAACGAGACGGAAAGCTAATCGACCTAACATGAGCCATCTCTATATGTTTTCTCTAAAATAGGTTACATTAGGCTTTAGTCCCTTTCTCCTAATACTTATTTTCATATTGAGGATAGTTATATTGGTGCCGCCCCAATCATTATGTGTAACCGGCCTCACTGCCTAAGAGTTGAAATTAGCAAAATGGCATCTTTTAGTAGTTATTCCTACAACAATTCTACAAGTTTCAACATCACTAGCTGGCTTATTATTCTTGCTAGATACCAAAGAAAGCAAACCTAAACATATCTCAATTAGTAAACTCTTAATTTCACCAAGAAAAATACAAAAAATGAAATTACTGGATTTTGTGTTCTTTGAATACAATCTTTCACAATCGTTGTATTGTCTAGAGTTATTCCTATTGCTATTTTCTCAAGAGGGGTGTGTCTTTGGTTCGATTTTTTTTTTTTTATGAAAGGGAGATTTTATTGATGAATATTTGTGTGAAAATCCTATTTATGTCTTAGTTCTTCTCTCTTAAATAATTTTTGAGATTTGAGAGTCGTTAATATGTATTACTCGAACATAGGATAATATGGAGCTTCCTTTGTGTTATATTTGATCGTCAAGAACGTCAGACGCACCACACTTGCTTTGTGTTATATCAGAAGGAACGCTTGATATTGCTCATTAGTCCTCACTAATCCTTTTGGTTAAAAAGTTGTGTACATTATCTTACTATTAATGCATTGATTATTAAATAATTACTTGGTTAAGACCTAATATGATTATTAGCTAGAGCTAGATGATTATTGTAAAACTACCCTCTGAATAATTCAACTACTATCCTGAAACCATTGATCAATAGATCAGTAATTATATAATCAATGTTCGTCTAAACCTTTTGAAGTGTTAATTAAACATCATTAGACATGAATCGAAAACCAATTAGGTGATGTTTAATCAACCGTAAACATTCTTTGTCTTGATGTCTGTCATTATCATGTGATTTTATAATTTAATTATGCTATTTTATTTTGGCAGAAAGGTCGGAAAGCACGTTATTAATAAAATAGAACATAACAATTTTTAATTTAATTAGGTTGACTATCCAGTGTCAGGTGATCGTACATGGCATAATTCTTCTGTACAAAGAATTAATTAGGGACGGTTTTACACCTAAATAGTTGCTAGTATTTCCGGCTAATTAAAAAGAATACGTTGATTAATTAGTGTTAATTTTTTATTATACTTCTTAATAGCATAAAACAAATTAGTCAGCAGAAAATATGGTTTCAAGAAACCATTAACATGATGCAAGGCCATTGGACTGATCATAGTTAATTTGCATGAAAAATAATCAAATACCACAAACTTAAAATAACATAACTTTCAATTAACATTAAAGCCTTTTTGGCCGCCCAATCATATCAATGGCCAAATTTCCTATTCGAAAGTCCAAGAGAGACATATTCTAGCAAGTAGTTAATTTTTTTTTTTTGACAAAAATAGTGTGAACTTTCAAAATCTATAGCTGGCTAATCATTTTTGTTTTAGTACGTAGCAAGAATATACTGAAAACAAATTCAAAGAATTTGAAAGATTTTAAATAGCATGTTAAGAATTTCAATGTGCTAGATTTTGACTAGCTAACATCAAACAATTTTGATTAGGCCCATTTTCTGCGAGAAGATACACATATGGACAAATCCACTGCCACTCATAATATTTTACGATGAAGTGCATGTGATGACAGAAAGGTGTAGCTTCTTCAGGTGACACACTACATTATTTTAAATTCCTATTTCATGGTCCATCACTGAAAAGTTCTACTTCTTGCCATCATTACTCTACTACTAAGGGATGGAGCTAAAAAGATTGAGAGCACGTTTAGATCTATTTCAGTTGTTAATGAAATGAAATAAGAAATACAGGCGTTTTTATCTAACTACCCGTTTTGTTGATCATGGAAATGGATCTACAAAGATACAATTTTGTCCATATGATCAGGTTCAATGTAATTAGGATTGATCACACTAAATTGTGTAGTCATTTTCTTGTCCCTTCATTTAATTATTTCTCCTAGATAAATTCATATAATTAAGACTAACGATGCAGCATTCATCGTAAATCCATGAACCGTAATTTGGACAAGAAAAGCTGAAATAATTGAACATGTTTTTATCAACAATGATCATCTTGTTCCCATGTGATCGTCATTATCATGTGTTTTTTCATAAATTAGTCTTGTACTAATTAAGTACATTGCTAATTGTATTCTCCACTAGACTAGAAAATAATTATACAAAAAAGATCTTGTCTATGGCAATTCAATCTCACATAATCGTACAAGACATAGTCCTTTAGCATGTCAAAATAATAATTAAGGATTCTACTCAAATGGTCACAAATTATTAAAACAGCCAACGCAATTCATGCATGTGGTTTAATTTATCGATGATTATTTGAGCTTAATTCATTGTATTTTGATTATACATTAACCAAATCTGAAGCACTGCTGGCTAAATATCTATCTAATTATTCCAATTATCAGTACACAATTTATTTGCTTTACAGCAGGAATCGATGACAATTATTATTAGTACTTTCAAATTCATGGATCCTGTAAATTAATTATAGCTCATACAATATACTACTAGTTTAAGATATATAAAACCTAAACCCCTTTTTCAGATCATTTTTTTAATCATTAGATTATCATATATGTTATTAATCTAAGTGTTTTAAAAGTCGAAGGCGTGACCACATAGAAAGTTAGCCCATATAGTTTTATTTATCAGATTTTTAAAAAGAATTTTTAAAATAAATAAAAAAGAAGTTAGAAATGCATAATCACAATATAATTTGTGTTATAGATTGGGTATACATCTGAAATGACTAGAAATTATTACTAGCCCGTGACCAATTCATGCTTGGATAGTCCCAACTTAGGAATTGAGAATCGCCACGTACAATAAGGCAGGTTAAAGATAATCGCTAAATATAATTTGAGATAGAAGAAATAGTAAACTAATTAGCTTAGACTTCGTTATGGTAAAAAGATAGAACACAAAGCAAGGAGATGTATCTCAAAGTTTAAGATTTAATTATAACTTTTTCTGAACTATTCATCTTCACTCTAACAAAATTTGTGTATAACCTATAGGTGAACTCTTATATATGTACAAGTAAGAATATGTGTTCTTAAAGCGCTAGAACATTAAGAAATGAAACTCTAGTTTGGATCAATTGCTTATACAAGCTTTCTAATCCAGCTTCAAATCCCTTTATACTTTCATCAAGCATCTGTAATCTCCTTCGTGCAATATTGACATCAACCTCACCATCATTCCTCTTAATCTCTTCGCGAAGATCGCCAAGAGCTATATCAACATTCCCCATTTCATTAAAAAATTGACTACTTTTACAAGAACCTGATTTTGTGATCATCAATTTCGAAATCATTGACCATCCACTAGGCTTAAATTTTGTATCTTGGTAGGATAAAAATACCAAAAGAGCTTTAAAAACTGATCTACTTATTCCTGTTACTTCTCTAAAGTGTTGTTCAGTGTCCAGAAACAGAGTGCATCCAACTCTGTTCTCCATATGTTTCAATTTCCTCAAGTTTTTTCCAATCTCCTTTTTCATTTTCTTCCTTAAGGTTAAATAATTACCAATGTCCCTTTCGATGCTTGAATTTCCACCTTTTCGTCGTAACGCTGATTGAAGATGCTGCACTTGTTCCTTAATAGTACAAAATAAATTTCTAATTGTAGCACACGAGTCAAGTAACTCAAGTGATCCTTCTACTGCCTCTTCTACAAAAGCCCCATTTTGATGTTGAACAAGAGTTTTTTGTGTGCTTGGACACTGAATTAGTTCCTGAAATGAATTGTATAATTCTACAAGCCCAACAATACCAGCCTGAATTGTATCTCCACTATGCGACGACGACGTTTCGGAGTTTTTCAGCTTGTGTAATTCATCTTCAATTTTTAGGCCATTAGGATGTAATCTTGTAGGCAAGCTAATAGATCTAACAGGAAATAATAAACTTTTAGATTTATATGAGATTGCCATTTGTTTTGGAAGAAAGGACTCACTAGTTCTTTTTGATGTAACAAATTAAATGATTCGAGAGTCTATTTATAGGTACATGACTTTTTTTTCCTGGAATTAATTTGTATGTGACAGCTATTAACCTAGGCAACAATTGTTTTTTTTTTTCAGTAATATTGTTACGTCATTAACCAACAATATGCAATTTGTTAGAGAACAATTTTTTATTCCTTGCGTTTTATGGCCTCAGAATTTGCAACGTTTTGACAATCATTAATTAATTGGATGAATTCTAAATTCAATCATTGAGTATAGAGAGCTGTACTATGCCTTGTTTTTCTCCAACAATTTTCTGCAAGATTCCCTTTTTTTAGATTTTAATCGTATACTTGAATTAAAGGATTTTATTTTAACATACATGGGAAATTGTACATGTTTCTGGACATTACATGCATCTGGAAAATTTCGATTGGTTAACACTTAACAGCACTAGTTACCGGTTGCATTGATAAAGAGCTAGCTAGGTATAGGGTTTTTGGTGAACAAGAATCATATAGGCTATAGCTGGATAACATTTTTATGTATATATAATGGGTTTCCCACGTAATTTTGTTCATATTCATTACTCAGGGCTCAAACTAAAAACATCGATGGAGCAATTCCTCTATTGATACCACAATCCGTGTTAGTCAAAATTTGTCTATTTGCTTGTAATGAATGGGTAGACAAAGGATAAGTTTAGGTTATAGAAAATTATGGTATCTTTGAAATTGAGGTGAGGTTGTGTTTAAAGATTATATTTACGTAGGAACAAATAAAGATTTGGTAAGGAGAAGGTCGGCGATTTGTTGGGTGACTAATGCAACAGATGAAAATATAATATACTCCATGCTTCTTGAGTGAACGAACCATTTGTCATTAATTCAATCACAACTTCACTTTTCAAACTTCATTAGACATACAACAAACAAGGGTTCCATGGGATTCAGAACA